CACCCACAGCTCCTCTGTGCCTTTAAAAAGGAGTGTTTGCTACTTGTTCAAAACCAGAGCACACAAGTCCAAATGTCCTGGTGCGAGCCAGAAGAAAGATGCCCTGCTTCTCTGTTTTCAGCTCTGGAGTTCCTAAGTGGTACTAATATGATGATGGAAATGTTCCCTCACATTCAGCACCCAGGAGCCCAGAGAGTCAGCTGCACCTTCTCATTTAATTAAAGATTTAGCATGCATGCCCAGAGCTGCTTTTATGCTATGTTATTTTGCAGCTAAAGGGGGCCCCAAAGACATCTTGTCCATGTTGGATTTATGTGCCTGCATCTTAACATCCTGCCAGGGACCTTGCCTGATGTCCAGTGATATAAGCACTCCCCCTTCCAGTAAAGCCTGGATTTCTCCTGCCAGCCAGTTCACACTTGTGCCAAAGGCCCAGGGAAGCCCTGTGCCAACATACTCCATGGCTTTCCCTCCTCCCTCCATCTCTCTGGGCCATAATCAGCTTGCCCAGGGAATTTTCGATTCAGCACCACCTGCAACCATTTCTAATAGCTGCCAGGAAAGCTGGCACGTGAAGGGGGCTGGGGGTGGGGCTCTGAGAGAGAAAAACAAAAGGTATTTGAGGAGCTGTCAGATTCCCACCCCACCCTAGCCAGGCCGGGCTACTGTCATCCTGTCATCACAAGCTGGGGAGGTAGTGTTGGGGGACATGAAAACCAGCCCTGTCTTGGGTGCCTGTGGACTTGGACACCTTGATAGTGTCCCCTTTCTGTGCCAACTGGCACCTCCTTGGGTAGCCCTGGAGGGAGGGCATCAGCTAATCAAGCTACATCATCCCTAATTAGCTATGATGGTTTTTCTGCAAAGCTGAATGCTAATCAGAGTAGGGAGAGGTTGGTGGCTAGAGGTGTCGGAGAACAGGGTCAGGGGGCTGGTGATGGTGGTGGATTGGGGGAAGAAATGCTTTGGATGCCAAGAAAGGGCTATATCACAAGGCTCTCAGGGGGGTCCCCCCCCCAACCCGGGCTTGGGTAAACTCCCTCCTTCTGGGCCCGTATTTCTCCTAATGAATTTTCACAACCCCTTGAGGTGGGGATACACACACACACACACACACACACACACACAACCTCAAATGACATCGGCTGAGAAGATGCCGTTTTTCAGTGCCATCCAAAGAGCTTTAGCAAGTCACTGAGATGGAATGCATCAGATTCAATTCATTAGGACCGATGGCTCCCTGAATGGGGCTGAATAATTGATGGGCAGGAGCAGCTTGCAGGATGTTCAGTGTGCTCCACAGACTGAACACTGTAATTTTTTTTTAAAAGCCAACAAACATGGCCAAATGCCGGGTGCGGGCAAGCCGAGCAAAGGTTAGATGTTTTAATATGTGATGTTTACACTGTAAACTCTTGCTCCACTGCTTGTAACGGGAAATGGATCCAGGCGGCCCAGTGACAGCTGAGAGGGAGATATGGGGCTTCGCTCTAATTCAGCTGCAACTGAGCTAATTTGCCGTGGCTGCTGCAAATCTCCTCCGTGCACAATGATTGTGGTTTGGGTACGTTGGCTCACGCTGGCAGCACACGCTGGACCACTTCCAGGGTCTGGGGGAAGGGGTGACAGTAGCAGAGATGGTAAGAACACCCCCAGAACCTTCATAGGGTCACAGATTTAGAGCCGGAGGAATCATAAAAGTCATCTAGTCCAACCCCCTCATTTTACAGATGAGGAAACTGAGGCCCACTAAAGTGAAGTGATTGGTTGAAGGTTACAAGATGACCTCCCACTCTGTCTATGACTTTTTAGAATCCTGTGTTCCCAGTCTCTCTTCCCACCCTATCTCCGATGATGGTGACAGAAGCCTAACTTGTGTGACCTTGGACAAGTCACTTAACTTCTCTTTGGTCTCATATTTTCCATTCCTTCTGGCCACCACCATGTTCACAAGCCCTACACCAGGAGTGGGGAACCTGAGGCCTCAAGGCCACATGTGGCCCTCTAGGTTTTCAAATGTGGCCCCTTGACTGAATCTGTGAAGTTTGGATTCAGTCAAAGGGCCGCACTTGAGACCTTAGAGGGCCACATGTGGGCCTCGAGGCCAAAGGTTTGCCACTCTTGCCTTACACAGTGCTCAACATATGTGGGTACATGATTTTGTTGATGGCTATCCATAATCATCTATATATCCATTATTGGACCTGTGGTTTGTCATCTTCAACTCCCTGTCCTACCATCACCTTAAACTCAATTTGCCATTTTAATCCAATAAACATTTATCAGTCCACAATAGAACTCATTTTTCCTCCTTCAAACCTTTCCCTCAAAACTTTCTTTCTTTTGACTTCCTTATTTCCATCAATGGAATCATTCTTCTCATTCCCCACACTCCATCTATAATGCCACCTCCTCCTTTCTCCACTTCTAATCACCCTATTGAAACACAAAGGCTCTTGAATTGATCCCTTTCTTTCCTTTCTCATTTCTACCACCTTAGACTAGGCCCTTATCATCTAATATATGGATTAAATAGTAGCTTCCTAAATGGTTTCTTTGCCTCCTGTCTTCTGCTCCAATCCTTTCTATACACAGTTACCAGATTAATCTTCCTTAAAAGATAATTTTTATAATTTTACTTCTCTGCTCAGAAACCTTCAATGGCTCCCCATTACCTAAACTGATATTGTTCAAACTTCTTAGCCAGAAATTTAAGACCCTCCACAATTTGGACCTAACCTACCTTTCCAGTTTCATCTCTCACTGATGCCCAACAGGAGCCTTCCATTGCAGGAAGACTGGCTGACTTACCTACCATCTTCTAATTAATCAACAATCAATTGATTCATCAATCTTCCAAATACACCATCCACTTTCCCACCTCAATGTCTTTGCTCACACTCTTCTTGGGCTTCCACATCATCCTCTTCCTCTATTCAAATATCCATCATTCAAGGCCCATCTCAAGTTTTACCTCCTCTGCGAAGCTTTCTCCAGCTTTCCCAAACCACAGAGATCCCCCTTTCTCTGAACTCCTATAGCATTCTAACAGTCATTGGGCTCTTCTTGTACCTAGTCATGTAAAGTTATTCAACTTTCCATATGTTCATCTCATCTGCTGGACTATAAGGTCCTTCATGGCAAAGACTTGTCTTCTTCTATGTCTGTGTTGCCCTGCAGTGCCTAACATATTACGAGGCAGGTAGTAGTTATGCAATGCACACTTCTTAAATTAATCATAGATACTTAATCACTATTTTGTGAGTGAAATCATGACATTTTCAATTTTACCTGTCACTTAAAACCTTTGGAATTCATGTTATCTGTAGGTTCTACCTATTCCTGTGTCTGCAGGTTCCACAGATGTCCATTCTCTCTTTTTATCCTAAATTGTGTTCATTAAATTTTTTTTTTTTGGCTAGGCAATTGGGGTTAAGTGACTTTCCCAGGGTCACACAGCTAGTAAGTGTCAAGTATCTAAGGCTGGATTTGAACTCAGGTCCTCCTGAATCCAGGGCTGGTGCTCTATCCACTGTGCCACCTAGCTGCCCCTCATTAGAGTTTTATCCCCCTTAAGATTGCTTGTAGATGACGAAGGTCCAGGTCCCGGTGGATGTCATAAATGACTAACTCTCCATACATATACTGATTGGAGGCTTTTCTTCAGTCATCTGTGAATGCACAGAGCTTTCCAGAGTGTGGGTCTGTAAAATGCCCTCAAATCAAGAGTTAGGCCTATGTAGTTTTTATGGATTGTACTCGATACAATGAGGATCTGGGATTTCATTTGTGTGATAATTCTAGGCACCTAAGTAGCACAGTAGATAGAGTGCTGGGCCTGGAGTCAGGAAGCCCTGAGTTCAAATCTAGTCTCAGACACATTAGCTGTTTGTCCCTGGATAAGTCACTTAACCTCGGTATGCCTCAGTTTTCCCATTTCTAAAATGAGGATCATAATAGCACCTTTCTCCCAGGATTGTGGGTTGTTGTGAGGATTAAACGAGATAATGTTTATAATTCACCTTGCAAACCTTAAAATGCTATATAAATGCTAGCTATTTACCAATGTCAATTGAAACCTCTATATCCTAATACATGGTCCTTGAGATTAGCTGTAGCTGCATCTTCATTTTGCCACCATCCAGGTGATGAGCCAAAAGCTCTTAAGTGGGTCCCTAGACAATATGTATGCAGTTCATTGCCAAGCCTGTACTTTTAATCTCTGGTAGGACTGACCAGGGATTATACGCCACCTGCATAGCTGTAAAGAACTCAGAGTCTCCTCCACAACACTAAGAGGCATGACTTCTTGTTGTATTGCTGTAGTTGTCCTTCATTCTCAAAGAGGACCATGACATCAGGGAGATGATGACATGACTTGCAACTGACTTTGATTTGAGTGAGTGAGGGCTGTGCAAGGTCACCAGCTTCCCTTTCTCCTCCAGAGCCATCTAGGTCCAGTGGCATGACAATAATTCTTTATTGGAGGACTCAGTGCAGCACCAGGTATGATGTGTTTGGGGGCTTGGCCAAGGGTTAGGAGTCAGCTCCTGGGAGGACCTGTCTTAGTGGACTCTCACCTTCCACAGTTTAATAAGGGAGAAACAGAGAGGTTCTAACTCTTCTCTCCTTACCCTATGACTTACTAGGGTTACCTATTTTTCTAGATGGTACAGAACCCTAGACCAACTCTGTATAGATCTTGTATGTATGTAGTTCTTTGCATGCTATCTCCCCCATTAGATGATGAATTTCTCAAAGGCAGGGACCTTTCTTTGCATCCCCAGAGCTCTGCTCTTAATAAATGCTTATTAACTGACTAATCAGGGCTGACTGATTTAGTGGTACTACCAGGAAGGATACAAAGTTCAGATAAAACAGGGTCCCTGCCCTCAGGGAGCTTATACCTTAGTAGGGGAACAAGATCTATATGAAGCCAACTCTAAGACATAATCATATCTGATATATCCCTTTAAAATGTCTTTCATTGTCATCCTTACCTTTCACTGCAACATGGACACTCTGGCTGATGGACAGCTGAGGCTGGATAAGAACGCTGCAGAGGTATTCCCCTTCATCCATGCCCTTCTGGACATCCATCAGTTTGAGCGTTCCATTCTCAAACACCACCTGGCGGTGGTTGTCAGGCAGCAGCAAGGTGTCCTTGTACCACTTGATGGAGTAATAGGGATAGCCAATGACCCTGCAGTTGATAAGCGTGTCCCGACCCGCCACTGCTGTGATGTTCCTCATTGCTCGGATGCTTGGGGGTCCTAAGCAGGGGTTGGGAGTGGGAAAACAAGGGGCAAAATTAGCCACAGAGAGCTAGGGATCTCCCTGGAATTCTGTTCTCAGGTCACTTAGCACGTAGGTAGGATAACCTTGGGACAGGAGTGTTAAGTCTGGTGATAGAAGGGTTAGATAAGAAGACCTCTGACCTGAGGTGATAGAGATAAACTGGATTTGGGGCACTCCTCTAACCTCCCAAAGAAGCCTCTGAACTTACAGTTGCTTACTTTAGAGGATCCCACCCCTTTCCTAGGAGCCACCCTTCAATAAGATAAGAATATACTGTCTAGCCTGGGGAACAGAGGGATGGTAAGTGTCTAAATGCACTCCTTCCCTCTGGATTTACCTCTATGTGGACAATGAGATTTTTTTGTTTTAATGTAAATGTGAAGTCTTAAGTACTTTAAATATCTGAGGAAGGACTAAAATGAGGTCTTCCCTAGTAGTTGGTGATTTCTTTTTATATATGAACACAGATTGGGAATCCCTGAATTGGCACATTGTGAGAAACAGCATTGCAGAGTGTCCACAGCACTGGATTCAGAGTCAGGGGACCAGGGTTCAAATCCCAGCTCTGTCAACAACTAGTTGTACGACCTCGGATAAGTCATTCCACTCAGTTTCCTCAGTTTCCTCTTCTGTACAATGGAGAGTTTTGATATGATGACCTCAAAAGTCTCTTCCAGTCCTAACATTCAAAGGCTTTTTGTTGTTCAATCATTTCAGTCATGTCTGATTCTTCATGACCCCATTTTTGGAATTTTCCTGGCAAAAATACTGGAGTGGTCTACCCTTTCCTTCTCCAGATCATTTTACAGTGGGGAGATGATGCCTGGGAGTGGAGTAAGAAATGTTCAAAAGGTATTTTTTTACAAAATGAACTGTGTAGGCAGGGATGTGGAGGGAGAAAGAGCACAGAATTTGGTGATGTGAAACAAAGAAGCTAGGGATCCAGTCCTGTTGCAGAGCCTATTACCTGGGCAGAGAATAGAGAATAGGATTCCTATGGCCAGAGCCAAGGAAATACTAGGAAAAAAAGGATGTGAGGTCCACAAAGGACTCTGTGGCCATCTCCAGGGACCAAAAGAGAGGGATTAAAGGTAGTAGCTTAGCCCAGAATTGGAGGACAGAAAGAGGATGGCCTAATCTGAAAAAGTCAGAGAAGGTAATAGGATTATAGAGCTGGAAAGAAACTTTCTGTCTCTGAGCTTCAGTTTCCACTTCTGTAAAATGAGGATAATACCACTTGTGGTATTACCTACTTCACAAGGCACTTAATAAACCTTAAAAATTACATAAATATGAACTATTATTATTTTTTAATAACAACGTAAATAACTGTAATCCTAAGAACTAAGGTTTTAATGAGGTGAAATGTTCATAAATGGGAGTGATGACAGTAATACCTGAAAGGGATTATTTTGTGTTATAAACCTTAAAATACCACCTAAGTATGAGCTATTATTGTTAAAAATAATAATATTAAGTACTAAGAATAACTCTAATCCCAAGAGGCAAGACCTTGAGACTTAAATGGGAGGGATGACAGTAGCACCTGGAAAGGATTATTTTGTGTTATAAACCTGAGCCAAGAGAAATGAATCATTTGGGTCTTAATGTGTGATCTGTCTCAATTCTATATAGTTGGTTCCCTGAACTTCCCTCACAGTGGAGGAAATGCTAGGTGGATAACTGGACTGATGGCCAAGGCCAGGACTAAAGGTTGGCAAAGCACGTGGCTGCCCAGGGCGTAATGTACAGGGAGACACAATGAGGGACATTTATTTTTTTTATAAATGAATATGTTTTTGTACTTGAATATCAATAATTCAATGGCCCTACGATGTCATTAATGTGAGCATTCCTTCCACTGGTGCAGTTCACTGCCCATTCATGCCTTCTCATCCTACGAGATACCTGTTTGTGTTTTCCTTTAGCTTCTCTACTCAACAAGCTGTAGGCCTTGCTTGAGGTGTTTTGACATTCTTTGGGTACCAGTGGATGGCACTCATTCCATCAATCCACCTGTTATCCTTCCTTGTCTTATATGACTAGTCCACCTCCTTTTCTGGTCATGACCTACTCTAGACATCTAATCTTATTTTACAGATGAGAAAACTGAGGCTTAAAGAGGTTAAATGACTTGCCCAAGGTCATACAGATAAAGAAAGATCAGAGGTAAGATTTGAACCCATGACCTGTGACTCTAGAGCAAGTGCTTATTCCACTGTACCAACCTGCTTCCTAATATCCCTTATGTATTGATTATCATTGAAATATGTTGTAGCCGTCTTGTACAACACTGATTTTTAATGTTAAAGGAAACATTAAATAAATATGCTTACTAAAGGTGTTTGACACTGTCATGGAAGATGCCCTACAAAGAGTCCACAAGAGAGATTCCCAGATAGGGAGGTACTCCAGATCAGTGGTGTCAAACCCAAATAGAACTGATCCCTGTGGAGTGCATATTGACTTAGAAAACCACGAATTAACATTACCTATGTTGTATTGTATTTTGTATTTATTTTGTGAAACATTTCTCAATTACATTTTAATGTGTTTCGAGCCACACTCAGGAGTTTTTTAGGCTGTCTGCTGGCCCTGAGTTTGACACCTCTGCTCTAGATATTTCTTTGTGAAATAATATTTTAATGATTGAATTAAGTCTCAAGACATTTCAGGCCTCCCCAATGAGACCTACAATTAGTAAAAATAATCATCACTCGCTTGAAAAATCCATGATGATTAAAAAAATGTTGTCATAACCATCCACATGTCAGCAGCTAAATGGATGAAAAATGTTTACTCTGCAAACTATGGCATGCAGATGGAAGCTCCTTCACTGAGTTAGTCCATCACTATTTTTGCCTAGGATAGGCACAGTAGCTGGAAAATGAGATAGACTCAGAATTGAAAAAGAAGAGAGAAGGCTGGATGGAATTTGGGAAGCTGCCACTGGGCTTTAAATAATTTTAAGCTCCAATTTGGCACAAAACCTCATCTTTTTTAAAAAAACACAAACATTCTGCCAGTAGGGTGGCACAGTTGCAAATCTTAGAGCACTATAGTCTCTAAAAAAAAGGATACAGGTGACTTAAGGGGTAAAAGAGAGATCCACATGTTTTTTAATACCAGAAAATTACACTCTCCAGGGGATAGAGGAATCTATTTTGTGATGTCAGATCTCATGTGCCCCAGTTAAGGCTCAAAGACTCTGGTGTACAGTAACACACAGGGAACATAATTTCAATCTTTGCCTAACATTTATAAATTCCTTTTTGCAGTGAAAAGTATATATGGGGTTATAATAGACTGGGTGGAGAATGAGGGCACTACCAGAGAGAAAGAGACAGTACAAGGAAGCCAAAACCCAAGGGTACCATCCTTGATTGTGAAACTTCTCCTTTTGGGTGATGGCCATGAAAAGTCAGCTAGAGGATGACTGAGAATGACCTGCATTATTGTACCTGTTTCTCAGTATTCTACAGAAAGATGAAGATCTTCTAGAGGAAAGTGGGCAATTAAGATCTGCTCTACTTTCCTTCTCCCCATTGAACAAAGGAGACACCTGTTTTGTGTTGTGGCCTTGTGGTAATCGTGGCTACAACCATTGGCTAAGTGCAACTCAGGATTGGGTAGGATGACAATATGGTGAAGAATAGAACATAGACATGGCAGATCCCTTAGAGATGGAATCCAACCCTCTCACTTAACTCAGAAGGACACTGAGGGTAAGACAGGAGAAGTGACTTGTCTAAGGTCATACAGCTATCAATTATTAGAGTTGTAATTTCAGCCCGTTTCTTTTGACTCCAGATCCAGTACTTTTCCCCCTATCCCATGACAAAGCGGCTGCTGCCTCCATATCTTTGAGGAGTTAGCCAGTAAAGACTGAATGAGGAAGATGGTGGAAAAGAAATAAAACTTATGTGGGAAAGGGCTGGGGATCTAACTACTCAACTACAACCCTACCTTCCAGACCTGGAGTTGGAGACCCCTTTTAATCCCTTCTTAGCTCGCAGTTCTATGATTTGTCTTTCACCTTAGTCTCAACTCTTCCCACTGGTAGTCCAGAACATAAGCCCTTACTAGTGGGCTTTCCCAACGCTGGTGTTCTGGTCACACCACACTTCCCAAAAGGTGGATTAGGAGGAAACACGACACGTGGAGGTTATCTTTATCAGGTCTCTGACCCCACTGCACAACTCTCTGATCCCCAATGACACTCTGCCTTCCTAGTCCTTGCAGGCTATGCATGCAGGGACAAGGGGGTGGGGCGGGATGGTTCATGAATCTGTGGCATGCCCAAACCCCAGAGTGACTGCATAGAGGAAGAGAGAGAGGAAGGATTAAGGCAGAGGGAGGGAGAGGACTAAAGTAGAAGAGGGTGGGGAATAAACTACATCACTTACGCACACAAATAACAATGCTAGAATAAGGGTGGGGTGTGGACAAAAGAGAGGAGGAAGAGAGAGGGTGAGAGAGGCAGAGTGGGGGTGGGGAGAGAGCAAGGTCCTCCACCCAAATCAAAAGCATAATTAACAATAATAATCAATAACCACAATGATAATGGTGGCCATAAAGATGACAAAGGAAATTAATAGCCTATTCTGATATTTAAATGTAGACAGGCACCTCTTACGTTTATTCGCGCTTGGTATTCAGCACTGCCCACTGAGTTCCGTGCAGCGCATCGGTAGACACCCCCATCTCGGATCTGGGGGGCCGTGACATTCATGTGGCTGATGGTCGTGCCGTCTGACATGGTGTACTGGTTGGTGCGGTGCCCGCCATCCCGCTGGATCGGCTCATCATCCAGGGCCCAGGTGACGGTGGGAGGTGGGGCGCCTTTAGCTGCGCACATCAGTGAGAACTGCTCCCCAGGGTTCACCACCTTCTCGCTGAAGGAGGAGATGATGCGGGGTGTCCCATCTGGGAAGGGGCAGGAGGAAACCAGCCTTGGCATCACCACATAACACAGAGTGGGTCCCTTGGGCCTTTCCCCCACCCCAGCAGAGAGGAAAGGGGTCGATGGAGACCCAGGTTGGCCAGTGACTCACAATGTCCCTGCCCTGGCAAAAGGACCGGCAACGTTGATCTTTGTCCTGGTCCTCGCAACAGAAAGAGCCTGGGCCTGGGACATATAAAACCTGGCTTCTAATCCTAGCTCTGCTGCTAACTAGTTTGTGATTTTAGGCAAATCACTTAGTCCCTCTTTGCCTCAGTTTCCTTATCTGTACAGTGGAGATAATGATGCTTGTCCTGTCTACCACACCAGATGACTGTGAGGACCAAACAGATGTAAAATGAGGTGCAGTGAAAAGAATGCTGGATTTGGAATCAGAAAATTTGAGCTAGAGATTGACCCTGGGCAAGTCATTCACTTTTCTGAGGCTCGGTTTCCTAAAATAAGGATGACATTGGAACTTTACTGCTTTGTGGGATTGTCATGAGGGCAGCACTTTGTAAATTTAAAAGTGCTAGATACAGGAAGATGAGAAATCATTAATTTGCAAATTTAAACTGCTATTCAGGAGTAAATTACTATTATTATTATTATTATTATTTACCACATTTGCATACCACACATTTTGGATTCAAATCCAGATGTTGATCTGAGCCAGGGCCAGACTCCCCAGGCTGTGCCCCTTCCACCTGAGGCTACTTACTCCTATTATTTAAATGAGATAATGTATGTGAGACGCTTTTTGTGAGGCACCGTAACACAAATGCTAGCTCTGTCTCCAGCATCCCATGAACACTCCAGGGGAGGTCACTGCCTAACCCTGAGGGAGCTAGCCCCTGGCAGTCACTGGTAGGCATCCCCAGAGTAGGCTTGGCTCTGTGCAGAACTGGGAAGTGGGTGCATCAGGCATCTTCCCACTCCCCTTTCACAACCCTCTCCTTCCTCCTGATGCTCCCCCCACCCCTATCCTGTGTCCTCGCTCTCAGCTAGCTGTCAACTAATCCTCCCTAAGGTGAGAGCTGATAAAAAGCTTCAAGAACTATTGATCCCAAGAAACCAGGGGAGACTAGTTGCATTTCAACGGGGATTTTGAAGATAAAAAGCTTTTAGAACCCCAAGGAATGAATCACTGTAATGGTGGAATTTCAGGCACTGTGATAGGTGGTGGGTGAGACAGTCTCGGCTAGGGGGCTTTGTTTTCTATGGGTAGAGGCCATCACGAGGTAGGGCTTGCCCCAGGGAGTGGCTGAGGCGTGGGAGGGTATGTGTGGAGGTGGTTCCCTGACTACTCTCTCAGCCCCTTCCCTTCCACTTGCTCACCCTCCAGAACAATGATGGCGAAGTCCTGGGCCGTCTGGGATTTGCGAGTGGCGAAGCACTGGTAAGCCCCGGAGTGGCTTTTCTGGGCGGAGGTGATGAGGAGGGTCTCGTTGCTGAGCCCGCGGATAGAGATGGTCTCATCCGGCACCACCAGCTCTGTGTTGCGGTACCAGCGGATGGTGAGCTCCGGGGGGCCCGTCAGGGCACAGGACAGGATGACGGTGCTGCCGATGCCTGTCTTCAGCTGCTTTGGCGTCAGGGTCACATGGAGGGGGTCTGGGCCGGGGTGGGCCAAGGAGGGAGGAGGGAGAAAGAGAAGAAAAAAAGGCTTACTGCTGGCGGTGTAGGGGAAACAGCATGGCCTTGGGAGTCAGGAGACCTGGGTTTGAGTTGGAGCTTTGCCACTGTCTGGTTATGTGATCTCAGACAAGTCACTTAAAGGCAGAACAGTGACTTTGGGTCAGGAGAGATCTGGATTCAAATTCTTCCTCTAACACTAAATGTGTGATTCTTGGAACATCATTTAACCTCTTTGTGCCTCAATTTCTTTCTCTGTAAAATGAAGGGGCTAGATTATGTGATCTCTAAGGCTCCCTCCAGCTCTGCTATTCTGTGAGTCTATGATTCATACCCTCTTTTTTTTTTTTCCCCGAGCAGAGGTTCAGTCCTCTCTAGCTAAATGAGGAGGGAGTGCTTTGAATGTCCATGGAGATGATTCCTTCAGCTCTGACACCATTTGTGCTATGTAAATAAGTTGGAATTACCTCCAGCAACTAGACTGGACGCGTTCTAAGGAGGCTGGACCAAGACAGAGTGATGGTGGCCTTGATCCCCTCTTTCTTTCTCCTCCTCCTCTCCCCAACCCGGTGCTGCTACTATTCAGGTCTCTTTGCTTTTTATTTCCCTCGGGCTCAACCCGTCCTGGGGTCCTTTACTACAGAGAACACACAGCTATGGGTCCTGCATGTCGCAGCTCACCGTAGAAGGAGGTGGTATGGCTACCTGGGGGAATGGGAGAGAGCTCAGAGTAGGCCTGACTCCCCTAGCCACTCATCCTGGCCTGGGGCCTTTGCCCAGCTGCCTGGAAATGTCATTCCACAATGAAGCAGGTGTCAGATTCTTGTCTGTCATAATTCCCTGCCCTGGTGCCTGCTTCCCAAACCCACCCACCCGAAGAAAGAGCAGTTCCCCAAACTTTCCTTTCTTTTTCTTGAACTTGGCAAAGAAGCATTGTCAGGGAGGAGTAAGTAGACATTAGAACCAGCTGATACGATGCCTGGGTGTGGTGGATCAGCTAGAATGTCCTCATCCAATGCCTTCTACCATGGCCACCTGGGTCAGCCCCTTGACATAGCCCCGACTTTAGAGAAGAGCCATGTGTGCTTGCATGATCAGATGTGGTATGTGTAGGTATCCATATATGGGTGTGCATACATGTACATGTTTATGTATGTTTGGCTGTTAGGATGGGGGAGGGTATGCTTGTATGCATGCACGTGTCTGTATCTGCATGTATACAATGTGTTTGCATGTATACATGGTCTAAGAGAGGCTGCCAAGAGAGTGATGGTCTACTCTGTGGAGACAGTCACTTTAGGAAGCAGGTTGCTCAGGAAAGATCTTCTGTCCTGTACACGCATGAATATCAGTGTCTTAGCATGGAGGAGGTGATATAGATTGGTTGGCTGTGCACACACGTGCCAAGATCTGAGTAAATGTCTGTATCTCTGAATATATGTGTGTGCACATGTGCCTTAGGCCAGGGTTTAGGACCCCTGCAACAGTTACCCACACTCAGGTATGTTGCTTCTCCCCCCTCCCACTGCCCAACCCCTTCACCCCTAGCTGGATCCCTGGATTTATGAGTCAGTGTTTACGAGCTTCATCAGCGAATGGAGATTCCCTGGCCTTCTTCCATTTGGGATGATGCACCTAAGAACTTTCTTTCTTTTTTTGGCAGAAGCTCTGGCATTCTATTGCTCTACCTGGATGGTTGGGTCTGAGTGTGTATGTGCCCCTGTGCACATGAGCTCAGGAAGGGAGGGGGAGCCTGGCTCTGCTTAGCCATTAGGAGGTGGTACCCAGGCTTTAATGGAAGGTCCCTGGTGACTATGTGTCCAGTGATGCTCTGGGGGAGGATGCATTAAACCAAACCTAAATCTCACTCTCACCCACAAACCCCAATCCATCTTTCTGCTGCTTGCATGTCTCAGGCTTATTTAATACAGCTCAGGTCCCAACAGGAAACACAAGGCACCTTAATATCGAACTTTCAGCATTTCATCCAAAGCATTTACATCACTTACTGTCGTTCTCAACACATGGGGTTGATTTGCTGGGGACTGTTGTCTGCTCTTCCAATCACACTATAAATCTTAGCAGGGACAGCTCTGCCACAGTACTACCATAGATAATATCACACTCGAGCTCCCTGTGCAGCCTGAGGAAGGGGAGGGGGGATTGATCTTGGGCTATAGAGCTTGATCCCTGGAGGAGCAGATCATTAGACCACGCCAAGGAATGGGCACCATCTTTGGGAGGGAAGGGGGCTGAAAAATATCTACGCCCTCAGCTATGGTAGAAGGAAAGCCAGGGCAAGAAAAGAGCTTTCTGAGACATTCTGTCTCCTAAAATGGCCCATTCCCTGAATGGGACCCCATTTTTCTGGGAGCTCTCCTCCTACCACCTCTTCAATTCTGAACATGCAATCTCCTATGTTGCCCTTGGGAAGAATGCATGCACAAGGGCTCAGGTCACCTCTGTTCCACACCCCTCATATCCTGAGAAAGTATAGAGATGGCAGGTTCCCACACAGCCCACTAGGCACATGTCCCACTCCCCTCTGTATCACCCTCCCAAATCCCCATCCTGACTCATCCCCATAACTTCTGGAGAGCCAGGAATACACAGACTCTCAGTCACTCCGAAGGAAGAACCTTACATATCCTTTAGCCCGAGCCCCTAGTTTTACAGATGACTGAACTAAGGCCTAGAGAGAGGAGACCTTTATCAAGGTCACATAGCTGATTACTGGCAGATTTCTTATTGTCAATCCAGTACTTTTCTTACTATGCTAAACCATCTCTTACTCAATGTAAAAAGAGACTGAGTCAGATGCTAGTGGTCTGGTAGCCTAGTTAGCAATGAGCAGGTTCACTCATACCTCAGGTGACCACTTTTTCTCTTTGCTCAGGGTTCTATGCATGTGCACACAAAGGGTGGCTCATCAATTTCCTTTTCTTTTACTTTTTTTTTAAAGACTGGCTTCCCCATGTCATCAAAGCTGGAAGTGCGGGGGCTATTCGAAGGCGCCATCCCACTATTAATTGGCATGGAAGCTTTGACCTGCTCCACTTCTGACCTAGGCTAGTTCTCCCCTCCTTAGGCAACCTGGTGTTGCACACTTTGCAGGGGTCTCATCATATTGGTTGAATTCATGTGTAGACACCCAATCATAGTCGATTGTAGCTCGGAACTCTTGAGCTCAAGAGATCTGCCAGCCTCATCCTCCCTGGTAGCTGGGATTACAAATGTGTGATACCCCACCTGGCCAATTTCCTTCTTTACTTAGGAAAGTAACACCAACGTGGATGCTTCTGTGTTTTCACTTATCTTTTTTTTTGTTTTTTTGTTTTTTGTTTTTTTTTAGTGGGGCAATCGGGGTTAAGTGACTTGCCCAAGGTCACACAGCTAGTATGTGTCAACTGTTTGGTCTGAGGCCAGATTTGAACTCAGGCCCGCCTTACTTCAGGGCCAGTGCTCTATCCACTGTGCCACCGAGCTGCCCAACTTTCACTTATCTTGATACCCTCCACTCCAATGTGTGAGATGGATCCTAAAAATACATCTTTGTCTGTTGGAAAACCTCCCTTTCAAGTCCCAACTTAGAAGTCATCTCCTTGTCTTTCCAACCTGCCTTCCCTCCAAATCCCAGTTTGCCCTGACCTCTCCTTGATATGTATCCCACTTCCCCTTATATTATGGGATAAGAGAGAGTTGGAGGTAACTTTAGTGGTCATTTGCTTCATTTAATGTTTCTCAAACTGTGCTGTAAGGAATCCTGAAACACCCTAATGTTTGCTTCTTAAATGAACCTTATGTTTTTTGTTAATAGGCATTAACCAGAATAATTTTCAAGGTTTTACTACAAGGTTTTTGCCAAAGTTTTGTTTCAACTGAAGGGTTCTAAGTCTTTCCCAGTTCTAGTTCATCCACCACTCAGCTGTCTCTTCCTAAAGCACAGGTCTGACCATGTCACTTCCCTACTCAGTAAACTCCAGGGGCTCTCTATTACCTCCAAGGTGAAATAGAAAATTCTCTCTTAGGTATTCAAAACCCTTCATAACTTGCTTCCCTACCACCTGTCTAGCCTTTACACTCCTTATCCCCTCACCCCCTTACATATTCTGTGATCCAGTGACACAAGTGGCCTTCTTGTGGCCACTTGCACAACATATTCAATCTCTAGACTTTGGACGTTTTCCCTGGTTATTATCCTCCATGCCCTGAATGTTCTCTTTCCTTATCTCTGCCTCCTGGCTTCCTTCAAGGCCCAGCTAAAATTTCACCTTCTAGGGGAAGGCTTTCCTGATTTCCTTTAATGCTAATATCTCCCCTTTATTGATTATCCTTCAACTTATCCTGTATATAGCTTTTTTTTGTACACAGCTGTTTTCATGTTCCTCATTAGACTAGGAGCTCTTTGAGAGCAAGGAGTATCTTTTGCCATTCTTTATATCTCCAGTGCTTAGCACAGTGCCTGGTACATAGTAGGTGCTTGATAAATTCTTGTGGAATGGCTATGGAAACATTTGAGAACCACTGATCTAATCCAATATCCTAATTTTACAGATGAGGAAACTGAGAGCTAGAAAGATTAAATGACTTGTCCCAGGTCATACAGGTATTAAATAGATGATCCAGGATATGATTAGAGATCTTCTAATTCCAAATATACTTTTTATACCATACCACATGGTAATTTATTTCCATGCATTTCCCCCTATTAGATCATAAGCTCCTTAAGAATGCAGCCTGTGATGGATCTATTTTTGTATCCCCAGCACCCAGCTTGGTGCCTTGCTTATAGAAGGCACTTTATAAGTATTTACTGAATGAATAGTGGATGAATGGATGGATGGATAGATGGATGGATGAATGAATGGATGAATGGATAAGGTACAATCAGTCATTGCACTTTTTTCTGTCCCACACTGGGAAATGGCAAGTAGGGCCACAATTAGCCCATTAGGACTCTACACACAGACTCCTTCCTTTTTAGCTCCTGAGGTTGCTTGATTCTTTCTCTTATATGAACAGTCCATTATTTGGCAGAGGGAAGGGGATGAGGTGGAGGAAAGAAGAGGGAGAGAGACATTGTCTCATATCCAAGTGACTTGAATAGGCATTAATATTATTTCCCCTAATGTAGACCCTATCTACACGGAATAACAGCATGAAACAACTTTCCTAACAGAGGAGGGACATTCTGAGGAGGCTAGGCTATCTGGTCCTAAGGAATAGATATGAAACAATCAGTTTTTGAGCACCTACTATATGCCAGACATGGTGCTAGGTGCTAGAGCTTCGAAGACAAAAATGAAAGAAGCCTAGTACACTTTGGCTGTCTTTCTTGGTTGGAAAAACAGGTTATTTTAAAGTCGACTAGAAAAAAATCCCTATTAGTACCATGGGGGCATTATCGCTCTCAATATTCTTTGGGGGAGAGTTCCAGGATGGAGTTCTGAACCTGGGAGCTTATGTAGATCTGGTGCTGGGAACTCATGGGCACTCACCGATGACTGTAAGGGTGCCTGTGGCTTCAGCTGAGCCGAAGGTATTGGTGACCTCGCAGATGTAGGTGCCGCTGTCCTCAGCCCGCAGGTCACTAATGGTCAGCCCTGTGATGCGTTTGGTCCACCGGCTGTCTGTGGGGAGGGGCCGCCCATCTTTGAGCCACCTGATCGCTGGGGCAGGGTAGCCTGAGGCAGTGCAGGGCAATTCCACCGTCTGGCCTGCCCTCACTTCCCTGGAGTGGAAGCTGTCAAGGATGGTGGGGGTTGATTCAGCTGGGTCTGTAAGGAAAAAGAGGATTAGTAACACTAGCTGGGAGATGAAGGAGTAGAGAAGGGGTTGGGGCTTAGACCAAGGCCCAGAGGCCACATAGTGATCTAAAGGAAAGATTCTGAACACACAATAATAATAATAATAATAATTCACTTTTGTGTAGTGTCACACCTAGGGAGCTCTTGGGAAAACACTTCAGAAAGTACCTGTGTTATTCCCACCACATCAAGTCCACCTCTGGCATGGCCCCTCTCCCCTGGCCCAGGCTAGACCCAGAGCCCAAAGGCCTTGGGTCAGAAGGCAAGATAATTCCAAAGGAAGCGAAATCATAAGGGATTCGACAAGGTTAAACTGTTTACATCCTACCTGTGATGCTTGTGACTCCCAAGAACTTGTTCTTTATTGGGGCAGTTGGAAAGAGTGTACATAGGCAGAGGGCATGGGTGTGAATCGACTATGATGGGATAATATACAAAAAAAATAGAATTCAGGGGTGAGAAAAAAAGATAATTCCAAAGGAGAGAGAGCAATTAGAAGTCCAGGGGTATACACATATACGAGAACGCATCTTAGTCTCTTTTTTGCAGAAGTGGAGGTCTATGAGTGTGGGAAACAACATATGCTATCAGACTTAGTTGAGTTCAGTTGTGTTCAACTCTTTGTAATCTCATTTGGGTTTTACTTGGAAAAGATACTGGAATAGTTTGCTATTTTTTTTTCCAGCTCATTTTACAGATGAGGGAACTGAGGCAAACGGGGTTGAGTGGCTTGTCCAGGGCACCCAGGGGGTTAAGTATCTGAGGCTAGATTTTAACTACTGAAGATGAGTCTTTCTGATTCCAGGACCAGTACTCTATCCACTGCATCACCTAGCTGCCCTGTTGATATTATTGGTTAGTTTTAGTGAACTGCTTTTTCTGCCCTTTCTCTTTTTTTTTTTTTTTAATAAAGGACAACTCCCTGAGTGGAGTAGGGGAAAGTGAAGGTGATATAAAGAACAAAATACATCAATGAAAATTTTACAAGGAAAAAGAGACACACAGAGAGGCAAGATGGTGAACAATAGTCTGAGGAGGCAGGGGTCTTGGCCTCTCTTCTCTGCTCCATCCACTTACTGGCTATGTGAACCTTATTTCTTTATCTCTAAAATGGGATTAATAGGCTTGTGGTGGAGAACAAGGTATTTTAAAACACCTTGTAAACTTCAATGTCGTTTCTTCTTTGTGGCCATGAGTTCCCAGTTGCTTTCCAGCTTAGTGACCTCCTGGCTCTAAATAAAATGTAGAAGGGATTATTATCACTGTTGTTGGTAGAAACAGGATGAAAAGGCAAGAGAAGGAAAACAAGACAGAGACAGCTGGAGGGAGAAAGAAAGGGAGAGAGGAAAGGAAGTGGGGATGAGGGCTGGAAAGAAACTAGAGAAAAAGACAGGGGAGAAGAGATCAGGAGGCAGGGGAATTCCCACCAGCCCAAGTGATATTGCTGGGCTTGGCCCTGTGAGTTCACTCCTCCCCAATTACACTGGCCTTGGACCCGGCTCTTGATGCCGAGGGCCCTGACTTGAAACTATTCCTCTGTCCTCCTCTACTATCTTCTCTACAGTTCTTGGATTCTTTTTTTTTTTTTTTTTGAGGCAATCAGGGTTACACAGCTAGTAAGTGTCTGAGGCTGGATATGAACTCAGGTCTTCCTGACTGCACAGCCAGTGCTCTATCCACTGTGCCACCTAGCTGACCCAGTTCTTGATTTGGTGAGCCACAGAGGTCGCTCTCTTATTTTCTATCCTCTCTGGAAGCAGCTGCTTCCAGAAGAAAGTGTCTCTTCTTTGTTGGGCTTGTGAATGATGAGGATGATAGGGACTCTCCTTTATAGTGGGTTGGTGACTGAGAGAGTTCCTTCCCTTGGGGATCCAGGAATTGAGGGCATGGGGGTGGGATGGGGAGTTTTTGTGTTTGAGGTTCAAACTTCACACATGAAAAGATTAGAATGAAAACAAAATAATATACTACCAAGTACTAGATGGGTGGTATGGATTATATACGTTTGGATATCTCTGGGCCTCAGTTTCCTCATTTGTAAAAGGAAGATTTTGAACCAGATGATCTCTGGAGTCCTTTCTACTTTTAAAGATCACAATGCTAGGGATTTTGCACTAACAGAGCTCCAAAAAGTTCCAGGACACATAGAAATTTGAATGATGATGTGGGTAGATGTGATGCTGAAGTCCAGTTTGGGCCCAGACATCCCCAAATGGGGATATTATTCACAAAAGGTTCCAGTGTGGTTATAGCCCTGGTGGAGATTAAACTGGTTTTAGAAAATTTTGAAAATATTACTTTTCTCTGAATTTTTTTTTACCCCCATCCATCCCCATGATAAGAGCTAGCATTTATAAAGCACTTTCAGATTTACAAAGTGCTCCACATATATTATCTCATTTGCAGTGCAATGTAGTGGAAAGACTGATGGATTGGGTGGCGGTGAACCAGAATCTGAGTCCTAGTCCCGTTACTTATTACTTGATATTTAGCAAGGTTCTTCACCTAAGCCTCCATTTCCTCATGTGGGGGTTGGACCAGATGACCTCCAAAGTTTCCTTCTAGCTCTAAAATCGATGGTCCTGGGAATTTACACACAGAGTCTTAGTGATAATTTCATCCTCCAACAGATGGAAGAACCAACAGGGGAAATTCTGTTCCAGGTCTCATTCTCACTCATAAGGAAGAACTGGTTGGTGGGGTGGAAAATGATGGAAACCTGGGGCAGGGAGAGGAAGGGAAGTGGTTCCTCCTTCCTAGGGTTTGTAATAGGGAAGGTAAGGAGATGCTTTCATAGTCTGACATGCACTCTAGATGTTAGAAAACAGATTTAGAAGGGCTCAGAGAAAAGATAGGCAGGATTCCATAGATCAAAATGCTATAGGGGAAGTTAGCCCAAAAGAGAAGGGAGAGACTCCAGAATGAAATTCTGAAGACAAAAAGAGAAACCATTCCAATGAGGAGGAAAAAATGAGATTTGTCTAAAGAGTCTAATCTGGATGTAAGGGGTACTCACCAACTAACTTCGATTTTAAAAAGAAATGTATAGAAGATGAAAACAAGAGCACATAAAAAAGGCTGAATGAGTATGGCACTGACCTGTAAAAATATGTCAGGAATTCTAACATTCCAAATGAACTAAGGCTGTCCAGGAAAGTCAAGGACTATAAAAAGGGATGATTTATTTATTCTTAGCTACATTAGAAGAAAAAAAGAGGATAAAAGAAGGGAAAGAATTTTTTAGCTGTTGATAGAGGGAAGGCAGAACTGCTTAAGTTTTATTTTGTTTCTGGTTTTCCTGCCAAGGAGAAAGACCTTTGCATCAGACATGGCAGAGCAAAAATGACCAATAGGGCATTGATGCTCCCAAATAAGTAAAGAGAAAGTAAGGGAGCCTCCAGGTGTACTCTGGGAATTCAAGTTCATCCAGCCCAAATGAGCCATAGCCTCTGGAATTAAAGAGAGGGCTTATATGATTAAGGAGTGACCATCAGCCATGTTTGAAAGATGGGGAGATGGAAAACAGAAATGATACAAGATTGGAGAAGGGCAAGCATTGACTGTGTTTTTGAAAAGGGAAGAGAACAATGTCTGCAAATTATAGGTTTCTAAATTGTCTTCAAGTCCTGAAAAATTTTTTAAAATGATCATTATAGGGATTGTTGGTGAACATGTAGAAAGGGTGCCAGTAGTTACAAGGAGCCTGCACAGATTCATCAAGAAGAGGTCATGTCAGACTAACCTCATTTCCTTTTCTGATAGGATTACTAGATTAGTAGATGAGTGGGATTCTGTAGTATATTTCACCTGGATTTTAGCAAAGTTTTTTGATGAAGGATTTCATGCTATTACTATGGGGAAGATGTGAAGATAGAGACTAGATAATTATACAATTAGATGTATTCAGGACTGGTTGGATGGACTCAAAGAGTAGTTGAAATGGCTCAACATCAACCTGGCAGGAGGTTTCCAGTGGAGTACCTCTGAGATCTTGGCCCTTTGATGTTCGATATTTTTATGACTTGGACAAAGGCATAGCTAGAGTGCACATCAGATTTGTAGATGACACAAAGCTAGGAGGGATACTTAACACATTGGATGATAGTCAGTAGCCAAAAAGATCTTTACGGCCTGGAGCATTGAACTGAATTTACTAAAATGAAATTCAAGAGGAATTAATGTAAAGTCTCGCACTTGGGCACAAACAATCAACTTCAGTAGTGCAAGATGGGGGAGGGGGTGGAACATGGATCCCAAAGTTTTTAATGAACTACAAGCACAATGTGAGTCAGCAATGTCATGTGGCAGCAAAAAGAAAAGGTAAGGTATTCTTGGGTTGCATAAAGAAGGTATAATTGCTGGGAATAAAGAAGTGATACTCTGCCCCCATCAGACCTCATTTGGAGGATGATATTCCATTCTGGGATGGTGATGGTGAAGGACCTTGAGTCCATGTCATGAATATCAGTTGAAGAAACAGGACATGTTTCATCCAAAGAAGAGAAGCCTCAGGGGGGACGTGGTGGCTGTGCACAAGTATTTGAAAGGCTGTCCCATGGAGGAGGGCTTAGATTTTTATTCTGTGTGGGTCCAGAGGGCAGAACTAGGAATAATGCATGAAAGCTGTGAAAAGGCAAATTTAGGCTGAATATCAGGAAAAACTTCCTAAAGGGTGACCAGTAGTTCAGGATGTTGTAGAAGGAGTTTGTGACTTAGGAAATGGGTGGGACTCAATGAACTTTGAGGTTCCTTCCACCTCTAATACTATGATTGATGAAAGGCAATATGGCATAGGCTAAAGAATAATATAACTGGAGGCAGGAAGTTCTGGGTTGAAATGTCTCCTCAGGTACTTCCTATCTATGTGATAAGAGTTATCTAAGAGGACAATGGGCTTCCTCAAGAGGTGACTAGCCTCAAAGTTGCATGAGAGTGTTTGGCTGCTACATCCCTCCTGGGTTGCCCCCTTG